TATCGTGTTGTCTTAACTCAAATGATCTAGGCTCTTGGGCAGCTCCACATGCAGTCTCTTGGATAAGGGATAATGAAATAGAATTAATATTTAAAGGCAGGCTGTTAGAGAGTTACACAAATACCTGTTGATAAGGCCATAGAGATACAAAGCCGAGTGTTAGTATTAGTTTGTGAAATACGGAGCTTATTTACTTTCTACTTAAAATCCTCCTTTTTTTTTGTAAAGGGAAGCGATGAAGAAACGTCCATTATCCAAAAATTCATATTTTATGCAGTAAATAACTGAACAATCACGCAAAGTGCTTGCGGGGAAACGTGAAACTAGCAATACAGCCTAGCTATAATTTATACCAACACTTTCTGGGAGCTAGACTTCGCTGGAAGGTAAGTGGTGGAGAGAAGTGATTTTTGTGACTTTGATAAACTGTAATTACCAAATCACCATTCATTTATGCAGGACAGGAGATACATCTGTAGATAGCTGCCAATCTGGAGAAACTAGATCTAGGAGAATGGTAATCATGGCATTGATATATTTCGGATCAATAATTAAAATATTGATCCGAAATATTAAAGTACATAAAATGTATTTTATGTACTAAAATCTTTATTTTAAGTATTAACATTGAAATCAGAGTGTTTTTAGAAGGTGCTAGATTTTTAAAGCCTGACTTAATTTCAGTCTGGGCCCATTCACACCAGATCCATGTTGCGGTCCGCTACATTTCCCAACAAATGCTAATAGAGGGGCAACGAAAAATAAATGGGGCATGTTCACACCACTCCGTTCCATTGCATTACGTTACGGTGAGAAAAAAGCAGAACATGCACTCCTTTGTATCAGCACAACATAACGCAACGGATCCGGTGTGAACTAGCCCCATTCACACCCATTCATTTTTTGGTGCCCTTCCATTTTATATCCGTTGAAAAGCAGATTGCAATACAACAGATGGGAAGGACACTGGAAAGTACAATTGCAAGTCAATCGGATTTCCTTCCGATTTTGGTGTGCACCGTAAATCAGCAACATACAGTACATCCCAGGTGCGTCAAAACAAAAGGTGTGCAAAGTCTTAAGGTGCATTCACAGCAAATAGGAGGGTCCGATGACTTGCAATTGTACCGTTCAATTTCCTTCCCATCTGTTGCATTGTGATCTGTTTTTCAAGGGATGCTAACAGAAGGGCACTGAAAAATGAATGGGTGTGAATGGGGCTAGTTCACACCGGATCCATTGTGTTATGTTGTGCTGAAAAATTATACTGCATGTTCTATCTTTTTTTTAGCGTAACATAACGCAACGGAACAACGCGGTGTGAACTAGTCCCATTCACACCCATTCATTTTTCGGTGCCCTTCCGTTAGCATTCGTTGAAAAACATATCACAACGCAACAGATCCAATGTGAATGGGCCCTATAAGTTCGTTTCTTTAGAAAGCAGCCACAGCCTGAGTAGAAAAGCCTGTCTCCTGCTAGCACGCTGCAGGTAAAGACCCTTGTTCTCTGTGTGAAAGATGTGGTCTCTCTGCAAAGGTCCAGCATGCCCCCTGCTGAGACAGAATAAGAACTCTCCAATCAGCAAAGTTCATGCTCCCTGTAAAATGCACATCTATAAGTCTGACTCAGCCGGCAGCTTGTCAGACCTCTGCAAAGAGACCACTGTCTACAAAGGGAGGGTAAGGATTCTTTACTACAGCATGCTGACAGGCTTTTCTACTCAGGCTGTGGCTGCTTTCTCAAACTCACTGTAAGACTTTTGTTTTGGTGGACCTGGAATGTACTCAGATGATTTACACTGAAGGCACCATTGGGCTTTACTAAAAAAAAAAAAAAAACCTCAGTGAGGATGTTGTGTACTTGCCAGGGACGGCGATCAGGAAGCTAGTCGCTTTATACGTGATGGAGTGCCTCGCATTTGAGGGTTGCCCGAATATTTTAATGAAGAGACATGTCAAAATGTAGATTGAGCACCAATACAGGGCAAGGCTCAATTTCAATAAGAGTAAATATTCGAGCATTCAATTGTGGTTTGGGGTATTGTTATAGTTCTAATATTTTACTGCTCAACGAACCACCGATGGAGTTGTATTGTCCCTCGCATTTTGGACTGCTTACAGTACACCTTTCAGTTACTTAAAATTACTGAGAATGGGCTATAACCTCTCTAAGCTGGGGGGCGTGGCCTGCACCTCGAGGAGAATGGCCCCACACTAACTGAGCTCCGGCTACCTGAGATCTAAACGAAGCTCCATTCGCGTTCTTCCACCCAGGATGGTGAAGATTGGGCAACAGCAGACTGCAACCTTCGAACCCCTGCCTCATACCACGCAGCTGAGTGGGCAAATACCGGACATTTTCCGCACACAGCGGCCTTCCGCCACCGGAGAGAGGCCTCCCAAGATGGCCGCGGGACCTTCCACCGCCGTGTCCCCTCACATGCCTGCTTCCATTTCGGGCACCGAACCGCCAGACTCCCACCCCTCCTCTTACCTCCAGCATCTGCAAACCCGAGCAGAGCTCCACTCCGTGGCCTCTGATATCAAGGAGGCCCTCTGCTCTGCGGTGTCGGAGCTGCGGAAGGATCTGCAGGACCTGGGCTGTCGCATCCAAGCGGTGGAACATACGGGCCGCAAGCAGAGTGAGGCGATTCGGGCCATTCACTCCCAGCAAGACCACACGGTCCGCAGCCTGATCGAGATGAGACGCCACCTGGAGGACCTGGATAATAGAGGGAGGAGGTCTAACATTAGAGTTCGAGGGGTGTTGGAGACCTACATGCCTGAGGCAATCCCCACCGTCCTCATGACCATCTTTAATGACCTGCTAGACCGCCCAGCCGAATCGCCCATAGACTTGGTGAGAGCGCACAGAGCCTTGAAACCCCGAGCACCGCAGGAAGAGACACCCCGAGATATCATCTGCTGCCTCCAGAGCTTCCCCCTGAAAGAGGAGATCCTGCTAAAGGCCAGACAAAGAGGTTCCGTCTTCCTGGATGGTAGGGAAGTGAAATTATTCCAGGATCTCTCTGCCATTACATTGCAACAACGCCGAGCACTACGACCTTTACTGGACTGCCTCAGGGATCGCAACATCATCTACAGGTGGCGTTTCCCTTTCAGCCTTACAGCCACCCACAGAGGCAACACAGCTACCCTGCGCCTACCTGAAGACATCACCGACTTCTGCGCCAGACTGGACCTGCCTGAAGTCATCATCTCGGACTGGTACTCGGACCTGTACTCTTCCCCAACCAACCCGCGGCCCTCGCTGGTTCCGGCAATCGCAGAACATGCCCGTGACCGCAAAGAGCAAAATCATCCAGGCTCCTCCAACCCACGCAGGCAGAAGAAGCAGAAAGCCCTTCCTAGGGCAGGAAACCCGGCTGGGGATTCCAGCAGCAATGACTCCTTCCCACGAAGTCCTCCGGGGCTGAGGCAATGAGCTAAGTATCGACACTGATGCTTCCACATCTTTACACACCATACCCGCCCCGGTGTATACCGTATTAGTGGGACTAGCAATGTTCCAACTGTGTAGACGGCACGACTTTCCTCGTAAAGGACAGGCATACCGGCTTACAGTGTATCTGACACCTCCTTGCACCTCCACAGGGCTACCTAACTGTGAAACCGCTATACCAACTGCAACGGTGTCTTCACCATGCCGGCCTTCTTCACTATACCAGGAGTATGCTCGTCTTTACTAGGCGATGTTATGATTGTGCCTGGGAGACATGACCATGGCCACTTGACGGGGCGATGTGGGTCTGAGGTCCAATTTAGGACGTCGACTCCCAGGGCCCCTTCACTTGTATAATACGAACAGCCCCACCAGCAATCGGGGGCCTCTGTTAAGTTTAGCAATGCATGTCTGTTGTAGATCCCTCACTGCCTCCCTTGTTGGGTCTCGGGTATAGCCCAAGCCCTACCCTGGTAATTGGCAAAACTTTACCCGATTTACCGCTTAGAACCTTATCCACTGTCTCATTTGATTGGTAGGATTTCCTCCCCCACCCTCGTTCAAGCCACCCCCCAAAGAGTGACGTCTTGCACCTGGCACCTGTTGCCAGTTGCAACAGGCGCTTCACCTACTGTACCCCAGCACTTCTAGGATAGGTTGTGACCTTACCACTGATGGACCCATTTTTGCCAGGGGAAAACATACAAGGAACTCATGTAGAAACCTGACTAGACGACTGACACACACGCTGATAACATAATACATCTTACTGATTCCCCTTTTGCGGAGGGGGAATGGCACGCCCCACGGGTGGGTGCTCCGGCCGGTGCACTTTAGGATCTCCCTCCAAGACGCCACTAGCCCCTGCTCGATCTGGAGCACCTGGGGGTTTCACCGCTGGAGACTCCTCCTCCTAGGGGTTTTTTTTTTTTCGCCTCCACTTTCTCTATACCTCTCTACGACCTTTGTCTCGTTTTGTTTAGGTTGCACCAAAAAATGTTTTGTTGTTATTTGCCTTATGTCAGGAGAATTACTGTAGGCCGAGTTCATAACCAGCTGATCACAGGCCATTGTCCTGAAAGATCGCTCATACTTCCAAACCTACATATCCTCCCGAATGTCCTGTGTGATATGCCAGATGTTATTATTGCATAGTAATGAGACTAGATTACGCTGGAATTGCCAATTGTGAGTACCTGCCTGCAATGTCTAGTGACCTAACCAAACAACCTCATAGTTAGGAGGTTGCTCACTTGAAGATGTAAAGTGATATGTTGTTTATTTGTCGTTTTTCTTTTTCTTTTGGGATGTGATATGTTTGATCACATTGTATGTACTTTCTTTGTTTAATTTGTTCAATAAAACAAAAATTTTAAATGGAAAAAAAAAATAACCTCTCTAAGCTTTTTATTGCTGTCTGTGACTTCTCTGGAAATTTCCCCCCACTTCCTGGACTGAGGTTTTGTCCTGGTGTAAAATCTTTAGTATAATTTGTTTGCAGATATATCCCACAAATAACAATAGTAATTACTCACTGTGCATGGTGTCTGCATCCAAGGTTCTCCATCTATTTGCATGGGAAGTGACTTGCTGGTCCTTTAATAAAAAAATTAAAATAAAAGGTAACAGTTAAACATTTCACTTTACTAAACTAGAAGTTGAACTGGTTGCCAGCTCGTATACAGATAATGTAAAACCTGTGGTTGGTGCCTTGCCAGACAGTATTTTAAATCGTTCCTCCAAGTGGCTTCAAGGCGGTGACTACTTGGAACTGTTTCAAGTTGCCCAGGTTTGGAAATCTACACTATATGGTCAAAAGCATGTGGAAACCCCTTCAAATGAGTTCATGTGTTCATGGTGAAGATTACCATTAAAGGAGAACTATGGGGTAAGTGTTTTCCCCCATAGTTCTCCTAAGGGTCACGGGAGGACATATACTAGCGTCCTACTGTGACCAAAAGCTGAGTATATAGCCAGCTACAGCTCGCGGTATACTAAGACCACCGCAGCCTGGATGGATACCGACATTACTGTCGAGATCCACCCAGCTGCGTGACTGACAGCTGGCGCTGCCTATCTAGAGGCAGAGCCAGTTGTACCTGCCCCCTCCCCTGTCCGTTCGACCAGTCAGCGCTGGAGGATCAGAGCGGGGAGGGGAGAATCCCTGCAGGGAGCCTTGAGTGACACTCATGGCTCTCTACAGGGAGATGATCGAGAAGTGAGCGAGCGACGGTATGTATTCTCTCACCTCCCGATCTATTCAGCCGACGTGTGACAGTTTCATTGTCACACGTCGGCTCGAACTATGAGGTTGAGTGAAAATCACTCACCTCATAGTTCTCCTTTAAAGAGACAGCATACAAAGACATTTTAGACAATTGTGTGTTTCCAGCCTCCTAGGAATAGTTTGGGACCCTTTTCTGCTCCAGCATGACTGTGTACATGTGGACAAAGGCAGCCCCTTAAAGACATGGTCTGCCCAGTTTGGTGTGAAGGAACCTGAGTGGCCTGTTAGCGTCCTGACCTCAACCCGTACTGAACACCTTTGGCATGAATTGGAACGCCAACTGCAAGTTAGGTCCTCTCATCCAACATCAGTACCTGACCTCACAAATGTTCTTTTGGTTTAATGGAACAAATACCTACAGACATACTCCAAAACCTTGTTGAAAGCCTTCCCAGAAGCGTGGAGGCTGTTATAGTCATTAGGGCAGATGAAAGGGATATTTGTATACATTGTAGTTCCCACTCCAGTAAGGTCTCTCCTACACCGATGAGCTCTGATAGTCTGAAATGTCTGTCCATACTCTCTGTAGGCCAGCGTTCTTCTAAACATCTGTGGATGGATCATTTACCAACTAAACTGCCATGTACAATGACATTACTCAGAAGACCTTTCTCCTTTTCAGGAAGGTTATTTGTACTGTATATGTGTCCTATAGAGCATCTTCTGAAAGTCTCTTTATCTGTTTTGCATTGAAGCCATATAACCTCAGAGAAGCACTGTGCAAATTGCCTCTCAGCGGTGGGTACTCTGTTAGAAGCAATCAGTAGCGATTACTGATTAATCTGTCAATTTAACAGCGTGAAATTATTATTACCGTATAACCACAGATGAGCACTGTGCAAGTCTTCTTCCGGCACTCTTCAGCCCTGTGTAGATCTGACCCATCTCCATCGCACCTTCCAATCCCACCACTTCCAGCAGCTGATCACTCAGATCTGAAATGACAATGCAAATCCATTTAACCTTGTGTAGAGTCATTTCAACTACATATAGGAATCTTTGGCAGGTTTTCTTGGCTGGGATTTTATGTCACCCCAAGAACAGGGTAGTTTCAGCTTTAATAAGACTAAAGCAATT